AAAAAAAAAAAAAAAAAGACCGAGGAATCTTTTCCTTTCGATTTTAATCATCAACATATAATCTAGATATACAATGTGTTTAATTAAACTTTCACTAATTACAAGTAGTAAAGAAAAGGGATCTGACAATAAACCTGCAGATGACAATGATGATGATGATGATGATTTTACCATCTCTCTTAAAGATGGATAATGCTGATCAGCACACGTGCAGTTTCCTGGAGCAACGGGCAGGATGCTTAGTGCTCAACAGATCATTAAGCTTTGCCCACTCTGCTGTGTAATTAGTCCAAAGTGACATTAAAGAACTGTGAGAGCACTCAGTCCAATTCTCTTGTTTCACAAAAGAAGACATGAAAGCCCTGAGGAAGGAACTGGGCTACCTGACTGAGGTCCCTCATTTGCTGATTGATTCTGAATTCAAAGCCGTATTTCAGGATTCCCAAAGCAGTGATCCCCTTTCATTATACCACTCTTCCCTCATATGAGAATAAACATGCATTAAATATATCCCTCCTCCCGCCCACAACACACTCATGATACAGAATCTTTCTGGCTAATGTCCACTAAACAGGGACCAGCTGACTTGGCCAGAAGATGTTGCTTGACTGGAGGAGTTCTGGGCAGAGAAGTGCATGTGCATCTCTCTGTGTGTGTTTTGCACTGGGGGAAGGAGAACACATTGCTGAAAACACTCTAGAGCCTCTTCTCGGTTTTTTGCTGCTCAAAGCTTAGGTCCCATAGTGGTCATTGTTAAAATTTGTGGATTTTACTTTTCTAGAGGTCAATGGGATATGGCAATTTCTTTCTTTCTTTTTTTCTCTTCTTTCTCCTCTTATCTCCTCTCTTCCCTTTTCCCCTCCCTCCATCCCTCCCTCTCTCCTTCCCTCCTTTCCTTCCTCTTAGGGCCTTGGTTTGTTACCCAGGCTGGAGTGCAGTGGCCCTATCATACCTCACTGTAACCTTGAATTCCTAGGCTCAAGCAGTCCTCCTGAGTAGCTGGAACAACTATCAGGTACCACCACATCTGGCTGATTTTAACTTTTTAAAGTTTTTGTAGAGAAAGTCTTGCTATGTTGCCCATGCTGATCTTGAACCCCTAGCCTGAAGCAATCCCTTATACCCTGACCTCCCCAAATGCTGGGATTATAGGTATATGAGCTACCATGCCCAGTCATGGCACTTTCTTTTAAAAGTATGGTCCAGGAGACAGAAATTGGGTGTAGGAGTCTGCAATCCTGGTTCTTTCACTTACTTAAAATGTGATGTTGGGGGAGTACATTGCTTAACCTCTCTGTGGTTAAGAGACCTTCAGTCTCCTCACTTTCAGTCTGAGAGAACAATGCCTATCGTATCTTTGCATGAGGTATTTCTGAGGATCGGATGTGTATAAAAGTATATTATAAGCTGTAAAGTTCACATATGTATGTGCAAGGTATGACTACTTCCAATATTATATAAGAAAGAAAGATCATGCAGAATGAATACTTAGGCATGCTGCCTCTTAGTAAAAATGTGAAGTAAGCCTCTTAGTAAAAATGTCTCTGGCTTACCATCACCCCCCACCCCCTTTCCCAATGTCCCAGGTCCTCTAACTCCTCAACTTGAAGAGCTTCATGGAAGGTGATGGAGGAAGCATTTCTTGAGTCTACCCAAATGATGGCCTGAGAGTATGCTGCCCGCCCATCTGGATTACTCTGGCCTCACCTGTGAAAGGCTAGCTCCTCAACTGTGGCTGTTATAACTTTCTCTCCTCCACAAGCTGGCTAGGTAACAGGTAACTAGACTGGGACAGAGGAAACAGTGATCTCTGAGAAGCAAGGGACAGTGGGAAAACAGAGATGTTAGATGAGAATAAGTGTTGATTTAGATGAAGGAAGACAGAAGCGGGAGTGGCGCGAGACACTGTATGCACATCGCTTGACAGAGACGAGAGCAGAGACTGCTTACCATAAGCATTAGACTTCACTGTGACACTCCGAGAAAATGTAACCAAATGGGTTTTGGCTTAGAATTCTTTCTGATAGCTTTGAGTCTATTCAAAATACACTAAATGTCAGTGAAAATTTGCCATGGCATGTTATTTTGCCAAGAGAAAAATTTGTTAAATCATGACATGCACTTAAAAATTCTCCACAAAATCATTTCAGTGGTTTATTTCCCATTTATTATTATGTGGAATACTACACACTTTGAGAGAAGTCACTTTTATAAACACACACACACACACACACACCCTCTTCACATATTTACTGTTCTTTCTCTTTTCATTTTTTTTTTTTTTGGTTTTCTGTCTTGATGAGAAAGTGTTATCTCTTTAATATAAATCACAGAACTACTGTCACAATATCAAGAAGAAGCCAATATCTTAGAGTTTATTTTATTATTTTTTTTTTAAACAAACTGTGCTAGATCAGGATACTATCCTCATTTTAACTTAAAGAGAGAAGTGGATGCAGAAGAAAATTGAGATTTGATGACATGTACTACACCATGACTGGCATTGTATTTTATTTCATCTATTTGTAGGACAACTTTGTAGAGAGAGTATTTATACAGTTTAGTCATTTTATTTCATTCTTTTTTTGATTAATTGATTTTTTTTTTTTAGAGACAGAGTTTCACTTTGTTGCCAGTAGAGTGCTGTGGCATCATAGCTCACAGCAACCTCCCACTCCTGAACTTAGGTGATTCTCTTGCTTCAGCCTCCTGAGTAGCTGGGACTACAGGCACTTGCCACAATGCCAGCTATTTTTACAGATGAGGTCTTGCTCTTGCTCAGCCTGGTATCGAACCTGTGAGCTCAGGCAATCCACCCCCCTCAGTCTCCCAGAGTACTAGGATTACAGGTGTGAGCCACCACCCCTACCCTATAGTCAAGTCACTTTACAGAAAAGTTTCAGAAAAATCAGATAATTCTGTTAAAACCAGGAAGGTTAACAAGGGACAGAAATGAGATTCTCACTCAGAAGATGCTCTCTCCATTAGTTAATAGTGAAAAAGAAGCAAATAGAAATAAACTATCTGGATTTTTAAAAAGTCTGTTATTTTCTGGGGCTGAGAGAAGGGGAGTGGAGGGGAGAATAGATGAATCAAGATTAGCCACAGGTTGATAATTGTTGAAGCTGGGTGATGGGTTTTATTATAGAATTCTGCCTGCTTTTGTACTTTTGAAAATTTCCAAAATCAAAGGTCAAACAAAAGAGCCAGTTGATAGACATTGACAACATAAAAAAAAATTACAAATAAATAATCTGTTTTTACTTATTGAGAAGGTGAATCAATTTTACAAAAAGGAGAAAACTAATCTTCAATTCCTAGAGATGTTTATCAAAACATAACTGGGCAGGGATTATAAATGACAACCTCTGCTTCTCAGAAGGGATAACCTTTCACTCCCTAGAGTGTATCATGGACAATAGGCTGCTTCGGAGATTCTAATTGCTATTTGTATCATTTCTACTAACTAGACCGAAGATTTATATTGAAGAGATCGGAAATGCTACTCAGGTTTTTTTACTCTATCTGTAAGGTTTTCTAACAATCTCAAGAACCATAAGATAGTGAATCTCACAGATGGAAGAAAGGATATTTTATTACAGAAAAAAGTATTGTTTTGCTTACCTTAAAAGGCTAACTTTAATTAAGACAGTGATAAAACCTTTTACAGAAATAATGACAAATATGTAAAATTACCTCCATTGCTGCGGCCCATTTTCAGGGCTTCCAAAGAAGTTGCTGGAGTTATTTCTAGTTGGCAGATCATTACTTTGGCTCTGCTAATAACACTGGCTGCTTCCCTCAGGTCTTCAGTATTCAGGAGTAAATTTGCTCCAGCCACTATGATGATGATATTCTGGCCTATTAAGAAATTCTACATATTTATATTAAAACCCAACAAAGTCAAGCAATGATGTGATCTTCAGTGTGTAATCACCCTTGTAAAGTCATTATACAAAAAGTGTTTTAGGCTAGACATGTTAAATTTTGTGTTCCAAAAATATCTTCTGCAATCTCTCTGTAAGATTCATATTCTGATCACTTTGAGCAAAATCTTAACAAAATTTCATTTCCCGTATCAATGTATTTTTTTTTTTTTTTTTTTTTTGAGACAGAGCCTCAAGCTGTCCCCCTGGGTAGAGTGCTATGGCTTCACAGCTCACAGCAACCTCCAACTCCTGGG